GGATGGATGGGATGGGATGGGATGGATGGGGCTGGATGGATGGATGGATAGATAGATAGCTAGATAAATAGATAAATATAGCTACGAGCTGCTAAGCTGTAATAGCGTAATTTACACACTAAACAAATAAATACCGCTATATATATAAAATATTATTAACACTTACCAACATCACCCAGTAGGCCTAAATTTAGCATAATTGTGTCTCGGCTTCTCGGCCGTAGTTATAGGCCTAATCGTACAATTTTTATGATTCATATCTCATTCCCCTATACTATATATATAGCAAGGACTAATCACGCCAGGTTACACGAACGCCAACAACAATGTTTACGTTCAGAATTAATGACATTTTAATTTTAAGAAACGATACGACAATTGAATATCTCGTCTTGGTGCAAAGTACCGTGTGTGCACTGGACAGAACCCATGTTTAATATTAACGTTTTGTGTTCATATAAAGGGACCCTATCAGTACTCTTTTCTCACGCCGGTAAGTAGGTTCTTAGATTTTTAAAGCATAAACGGAGTTATGTGATATTTACTGTCATGGCGGCGGCACAGGCGGCTTGCATAGCAGCGCACACCGGCTATCTAGCGCGCGCACGTCGTGCTGCACCCGAGGTTGCGATGCTGTTAGCCCTCGTGTAGGTCACGGCTCCCGGACAGTCCAATAGACACCAGGTCGTATTTCTGCATTTCTCACGCAAGCGTAGTTCCTCCTGGAGATAGGCAGTATATGGCTCTGAGACAAGGCTTCTGTTCAACACATAGCTATTGTGATGTTGTGGGGCTGCGCTGTTCAGAAACGGTTCCTGGTGCACAATGCCACGCCAGGTAGTTACAATACCGCGACAACCAAATTGATGAAAATATAATCTCTAAAAATATCCTCATTCGCAAAAATCCACATTTGCAATACTATATATATATTTTGCATGTATAATAGTACATATGATAATGTGCAGGTCTTACTTGGTTGTGTTACGCGCGCATATGCGGCTGTGGTGTGTGTGTGTTGTGTGCTGCGTGGCGTGCGTGCGTGGACGTAAGTGTGTGTGTGTGTGCGTGTGTGTGGTGTGTCGTCGCGTGCGTTGCTTGTGCCGTTGCGTGCGTGGCGCGGCGCGCGCGCGTGCGTGCCCACCCACGTGAGCTACCAAAATGCGTGCACTGATAACCATCATGCATGTAATCATAACAAATATGGTAGATACGACCTAACAAGATCGATTTATTACTGCCAGTTCATTACCTATTGATTTACATTAGTTAGACAGACTTCGTGGTGTAGAGTCACCAGTGGTACATAAACACAATTTTATCACTTTCTAGTTTCATACACTCAGGCAT